GTGGGGTGTGGGTGTGGGGTGTGGGTGTGGGGTGTGGGTGTGGCCCATGTAAAAATAAATCATGAAATTTTCGATTAATTTTGATTTTTTGTAAAAAAATCATAAAAAATCGGTTAAATACGATATTTTTCGATTAATTTTGAGAAAATAATTGATTTTAATCAATTTTCTTTGACTAAATCGATTTTAATCGATTTTATCTCAAGAAATTCAAATAATCGATTAGAAATGAAATAGATTTTAATCGATTTTTTTATGGAAATAACTTTAATCGATTAAAATCGATTTTTTTCTAAGAAATTCAAATAATCGATTAGAAATCTAATAGATTTTAATCGATTTTTTATGGCGATAACTTTAATCGAGTAAAATCCATTTTATCTTAAGAAATTCATACAATCTATTATAAATCGAATAGATTTTATTCAATCTCTGTTTTATTTTATCAAAGTCGATTTCATCTGAAAAAGTGTCAAACATTGATAAAAAGAGTAACTGATTCGAAATAGTGTTGGGTTTTGTCAAGTGAGGTGGATATATTTTCATGAAGAATATGCAACTGAAGAAAGCATGTTGATAGAGCAAATTATGCTTTGAACAGAAGGAAAAATATGTGCGAAAAAATGTCATCTTTGATGAATTTTAGACCTATCTTTGCGTTTTTTTATAGTATGTTTTAAAGCTGTTTCCAAATCGGCAGAAATGAATCTCTTAAGAACTGTGACAAAGTGTTGGAAAACGAAAATAATAGGAAGTGTCATCAGATGGTGGAAAGTATGCACATTTTTCTATGAAATCGGAAAGTTCGATGAGAGACGTTTTTTGTGTGGAACTATTGCCGTATCTAATGTGTTCATAATAAAATTCGGTGTTGGCTGTGGTAATTGTGTATTGGATGGGTGTTTCTTTTTTCAAATGGCTTACTAAAAGTAGTGGTTGTTTGTTATTGACGGAGAAAATGGAGCAGACACGTCCAAAGGTACTAATATTGTTGAGACGAAACATGATATTGCTGTCATCAGCTTTTTTTTGTATGAATAATGGGTTGTTGAGATCCGTACATTTCCGATGTACAATACATTGTAATACGTAATTCGACATTGAGGAAAGAATATTGCTGGAAGTGGATGTCTCTCCTGTGTTTCGTGTAACAATCAAATGCTAAAATCTGATGTAGTCTTTAAGTAACCAAAATGTGATAGGAGAAATTGTGCGAATTCCTGATTAAATGATGATTGATTCAGATGAACTAGAGCACCTTGAAGTTGGTGAAGACCAGAAATGATTTCTTCTGAATGCCGACGTGTACTATTTGTCGTACGAGTTATTTGACCTGCGATAAAGAATTGTCAGTTCGCAAATAATAAGAACAGGAATCAGCTTAAATATAGTAAATCTATTACTGTAGCATAACATAATCTTTTTTTGACTACAACAGAATAGAATCGATTAGATTAAATTAACTTTAGTATGAATCTATATTAATCGATTGTTGAAATTTAGCTGAATAAAACCAAATAAAATGATTTTCATGACAATCAATTCATTAGAATTAATGAATATGTCAAATATAATCGGAAAATTTTCATATTTAATGGACTTTTTATAATTACCGCATGAAAATTAATTTTCATTTAATGCTATGCGGGTTTCCTATGTACTATGTTAATGAATTCAAATCAATCATATATCAAATCTATTAAAATTGATTTTCTGACGAATAATCTCAATAATAATTTAATGATTAGTTTGACTATGATTTCTCCAAAAAGTATTTTACATGGATCTGACCTAGTATGTCTTCAAAATTGAACGTGGTGAAGTTCGTAAGTGGTTCATAATCCATAACTGTTGCTGGAATGTGAATGATAGAATATACGACTTGAAGAGAACGTTTCAACTCGTCACGTGACAAGTTGAACAAACAGAAAAAATCAGACCTTTCGTAACACCAAAAATAGGGATATCCAAAAATACAGAGATCTCGTAACGAAAATTACAGGATGATCATAATGATTAATACAGGGAGTTCGTAACAGTTGCAGAGCTTTCGCAACGAAGCAACAGGAATTTTGTAATGAGGATGAGAGCGATAGCTGGACTTAGTTTTCAGAAATTACATGCTTTTCGTTACGAAAGCTCTGTAATGGTACATATTAAAATACCAATTACGATCACCCTGTAAAATTTGTTACGAAACTCCTGACTTTTTGTTACGAAAGCCAGACAAACAGAAACGTGACGAGTTGAAATATTCCCGACTTGAACACAATGCCGACGAGTATATAATTTAGCAAAATCAAGAACAAAAGATTTGGAAAGCTGCACCATAATAGACAACTGATTTGGTAATATCTCTCTGGATTCTGACATATGCATTAATACCACTAGTTGCAACAAATGAGAATAATAAACTTGCTTTAGAAATTTAAAAAAATTATATGACCAAAAAGAAGCAATGTACGCAGTTCATTTGCCTTAAATTTTTTAAATTCAAGTAATTTTCGAGGCAGACGAGTAGTAGTTGAAGGAAGGCGGAGTTGTAAAAACAGAGCTGACAGTTCATTGATGTGGTTTCTTATACTCCAGCTTTCCATACAATAATCATCGTCAGACCATAATTTCAACATTCGCTTCTAAACATAGAAACAATCGGTATTTTAATATCATGTGTATCAAATGTTGATGAGAAGTCAGGTTAAAATCGATTTTAGCTAAACATTTCATCAACATTTTTTTTACAGGAGTTGTGTAGTTTTTAATCAGACTCTACTCACAAAAGTGCCCCTATACACATTATGCAAACTATCAGCCATAAACGACGTGCCAACATCAAAATGAAGCAAACGTCGAAGGATACATCTTCTCAAGATTCCCTTTTCTGATATCTTGTGTCACTCTTTCATTATCTTCTTTTGTTTCTTTGACAGTTTACTCGAAGCAACCATCTCCTGTTGATGACTATTTTTTAAATTGTGTAGAGTATCATGACGCTGATTGGAACGTAATTCAATGTGTACAAGGTCAGATTTGCTTATAGCAAAGCTCGTACATGACCACGTTTGGTTGGCATCCCAGTACCTTCAACAAAACAGTAATTAGAAACAGATTTATTATATATTTCAATTGCTTTTTAAGATAAAAATGGCTTTGAACCAATTTACTGATAAATCGATAGATTTTATTCAATTTTTATGGAAAAAAATTGATTTTAACTGACTTCTGTGGGTATAAAATCAATTCAAACGAATTAATTAACAAAATTGATTTTAATCAATTTTTTCCTTTAAAAAATTTGATTAAAAATCGATTAAAATGAGACGATTTTAATTAGATTTTAATCATATGCTTTAGGCTTGAAGACAGATTTCATTTGGTTTTGATCTTATTTTAATCGATTAATAAATGTAAATCAATTAAAATCGATTTTGATAATTAGTTTTAACTGATTAAAGCTTATTAAGGGTGTGGGTGTGAGTGTGGGGTGTGGGTGTGGGTGTGGGGTGTGGATGTGGGTGGCTGTGGCTGTGGCTGTGGCTGTGTGGGTGTGGGGTGTGGGTGTGAAGATCGATATACTCTTCAAGAACAGCCAACCCTACACCCACACCCGCACACCCCACCCACACCCACACATCCCATCCACACCGGCACCCGCATCCACACCCACACACCCCATCCACACCGGCACCCGCATCCACACCCACACCCACACCTACACACCCACACACCACACCCACACCCACACCACACCCACACTCCCACCCACACCCCACGCCCACACCCACGCCCACGCCCACGCCCACCCACACCCACATCCCACACCCACACCCACGCCCACCCATACCCACACCCACACTCCCCCCACACCCCACACCCACACACCCACACCCACACCCACCCACATCCACACCCACACCCAAAATAAGACTTACTGATATACATGAGTGAAGGTAGAGGATAAATATTGGCTGCGACATAAGAAACATAACCAACTTCGGCAAGAATAATACTCCATTTAAGTCCAAAAGTATTTAGCGAAATACCCGTGAGAAAGATGGAGCTAAACTAAGAAAGAGAAACAACAATTATCCTTTTTTTTTCTATCAAATCATATGTCCTCACAATTACACAAGCATTACTGATAATAAGAGAGTTGACACCAACGTTATGTTTTGTATCTAAACTCGATTGAAGCATTGTTATTCCATTGTAGGCTATGAATAGTAGTACAAAAGTGAATGAGAGAATCAACAAATTTTTGTAAATTTTTCGAATCGAAAATACTGGTGGTGCATCATCATTATTATTATTGTTTTCATCGTTATTAATTGATTGAACAACGGAACAGACAGATGTATGAGGATCGACAGTAATAATGCTATTAGTTCGAACATTTGACGTTGTCTGAGCTTTGTCATTTGAATTCATAAGTGCCACTCTACTCAAAATGGCGTCGGCTTCATTCTCATCAGTCATTTTTCTTCTGCTTCTGCACAAATAGATTGACAGTAGAGACCAGAATATGTGTGTTACTGATAAGAATACAAAAAAAGAGATAAGAAGACATTTATAAAATTGTGGACTTTGATGTTTTGTATCATCGTATTAATTCTTTATTAGTAGGAGTTAGTGGCGGCGCCAGAATTTTCCGTCAGGGTGAGCTGAGCCCACCCCTGGTGTCGCCACTATAGTGGCGAGGGTGTGGGTGTGGGTGTGGATGCGGGTGCCGGTGTGGATGGGGTGTGTGGGTGTGGGTGGGGTGTGCGGGTGTGGGTGTAGGGTTGGCTGTTCTTGAAGAGTATATCGATCTTCACACCCACACCCACACCCCACACCCACACAGCCACAGCCACAGCCACACCCACCCACATCCACACCCCACACTCACACCCACACCCACACCCACACCCACACCCGCACACACACCCACACCCACACCCACACCCACACCCAGTCACATAGACAGTACCTGATTGATCCACAACAATACCCCAAGGCTTTCATAACTGAGTAAGATTACCTCCTTCACCTTGACCACCAGCCACGATAATACCTTGTCTCGCACTTTCCATCCACTTCATCACACGTTGGTTTGTACGATCTGATACGTAAACTGAATGATCTCGATCGACGAATATGTATGTCGGATTACTCATCTGATCGAGACGATTCCCTTGCAAATTTCCACCTGCAACCAATATTCCTTGACTTTCTCCTATTCGATATCGTCTCACTTTATACTTATCATAGTCAACGATATAGAGAAATCCTTCAGGATCCATTGTCAAACCCGAACATCCAACATTTGACATGATTGTTTCTCCATTTGTACCATTTTGACGAGGCCATCGAACAGCTCTTCTATTATTATAATCGAAAATGATGAGACTATCTGTTTCTTTATCAATAATGATATCTGCTACAACTTTCAAGTGATCAGGACGATTTCTCTCTCTATTTCCACCAGCCACAACTCGACCAGTCTTCGCATCACATTTCCATTCCACAATACGAGAATTCAAGCTGTCAGCAATGTAGATAGTTTGATCATCATCAATACACAAACCGTTTGGATGGTAGAGTTGATTCATTCAACTACCTTGTTCATTTCCCCTAGCCATAGTGACACCATTCTGTATCCAGTTTGCATTTGCATTCAGATTTGCACTGCGTAGTAATGGTGCTGAAACAAAATACAATTTCGCCCATCCACATCGAAACAATGTTCGTTAATGAAAAGCGATACTCGAAGTAGAGAACTTTGATCAATAGAAAGAGAAAGAAAAATTGTACTCAATGATCATATTGAACAATGCCCCAATGTTAATTTAATTGTTTTGATACTTTGAATGAAGAAAAACCTGAGAAGACCTATTAGATGATGATTAACATTCGAATCTTCGAATGTAAACTCGACTTTTCTTTCTATCTCACCATCATCGAAAGACTTTTCATCTTATAAAGAAGTCTTAGTAACAAAATGTAATGATTGATCATCAATATCAAGGAAGAAAACTTAACAGTACTTATTGTTTCGAATATACAACTGTTAAAGATACATATAGTTGTAAGCGATAGAAATCAACCTGTTACTGTTCATGATTTCCAGACAACGCTACTTTGAAATCGATTCAATCAGACATTTCGCTCCATCGATTTTTCAGAGAAAGAAAATCAACAGAATATCATCAACAATCTCTTGAAAGCAAAATTCTAGTCGAGTAATACTGGTATGATTTCATTGATGAAATAAGAAAATTATTTTTAGGACCCTAGTCAAGAATTCTTAAAGAAGTCCCTTGGGAGTTCCCCGTTAATTCATGGGGAATCCATAAGGTATTAGAACTCCCCAAAGACTTCCTCGGGACTCCCTGGGGAATCCCATACAGAGACTTCCTGGGGAGTTTTTCTTTTTGTGATTTGATACTATAAAGTGCATAAATGTTTTTAATTTATGAGTTCATGACATATTTCAGTGATATTATCACTGGAATTTTCGTTCCAAGAGTCTCATATGATGTGCGATAGACAGGTAGATAGATAAATAGATAAATAGGTAGCTAGATAGATATATAGATACATATATAGATAGATAGATAGTTAGTTAGTTAGATAGGTAGATAGATAGATAGGTAGGTAGTTAGATAGGTAGATAGACAGATAAATAGATAGGTAGATAGCTAGATAGATAAATAGATAGCTATATAGATAGATAGGTAGATAGGTAGATAGATAGGTAGATAGATAGGCAGGTAAATAGATAGGTAGGTAGGTAAATAGATAGGTAGTTAGATAGATAGATAGATAAATAAATAGATAAATAGGTAGGTAGGTAGCTAGATAGGTAGGCAGCTAGCTTGATAGGTAGATAAATAGAGAGGTAGGTACCTAGCTAGCTAGATAGATAAGTAGGCAGATAGATAGATAGGTAGGTAGGTAGGTAGTTAGATAGATAGAAAGGTAGATAAGTAGATAGATAGATAGAAAGGTAGGTAGGTAGATAAATAGATACGCCGATAGGTAGGCTAGGTAGTTCTGAGAAGGAACGAAATCTGATCGAGTCTCTGGGGATTCCCCTCGAGAATGAGAGACTCATTATTGACTTTTAAGGCTACTCCTCGAATAATCCCTGGGGATTCCTATAAACTACCTGTGAAATTCCCGGGGAGTCCATGTCGGGAATTCCCCGGGGAGTTTTAGCAGGGAGTTCCCGGTGATTTCCTTAGGAATTCTCGACTACGGGAACCAACGATCGACATTTTAAGAAATGCTTGATGATTTTTAATGCAGTCTGATTTTTGTAAAATCATTCAAATCAACATTCGGAGTATGAGAAAATAGGTGTGAAGAACTATGTCAACGGTTACTAATCAATCTGCATCTCCCAAACGCAACAAAATTTTTCAAATAATTGATACGCATATTCATTTTCAAAATAGTCACTATCAATGGTTCATTCAAGGAGAGAAAAGTTCACGACAAAATCTTAAGATAATTGATCTTTTTGGTTTTCACCGAACATAAATTGATGGGAAAAAGAATCGAGCCTCGAATTTTTCACTGTTGCCATTTAGAGAAAGTTTCTCCATTATTTTCTCTGTTTTTTTTAGTTCAGCTTATTGCGACTTTGAAAGAAAGAAAACGTGAACTTTTTCCATTCGACCGTCGAAAGTGTTGACTCAACAATATTTAACAAATTTCGATCATTTCATTGTTCACAATCGAAACGTCGCTTTATTTCGATGAGTATTGACTCTCGATCTATGTCATTGTAGAGATTAAGCTAAAAGAAATCGAAAATCTCAAATGATTCTCTTGTTTTCCTTGGATCCTCTCTTAGACGATATTACTATGTAGGACATGAATGAAGTTCAAGTCATCAAAGCTGAAAATAATCATCTTTCTACCTATTCTAAATATATGGCAGCACAATCATCTGCATTTATGAAAGATGATCCAATTAGAAATTCAAAGAGACATCGGAATACTCGACAAGTAGAAAAGACCCTTAAAATGTAGTTTCTTGTCACTTGTAACGATAAAAACGAAAGCGCAAAGTAAGGCGAGACACGAAGAACTTTTTAGTGATTCACTACTCTGAAGAGTTATCAATCGATTCAACAAATAATCAGATGAAGAGAAATCAAATGACCTAACAACAGTCATGGGCAGATCACCAGGAGGCAATTGGGGGAAAATTGCTACACCAAAAAAGTGTTCATAATATACACAAGGTTAAAAATATATTTTTCTTTTATAATAATAAGATATTACAATCTATTGTCACCCTTGAATATAATAAAGCTGGTCTTCTTATGACAATAATGTGTGATATGTATTGAAGTAAAGAGTGGGTGGGATGGAAATACAATCATTTAGAAAAGATATTAGTTATGTAAAGCTTTTTAAACAGGTGATTGAACTTATCTCTGGAAGAAACATAATGACAAATGAAGTTTCAAACATCAATAATGGATTCATCGATCATTGTTTTCATTTTGTTCGATTTCATATTGGAGAAATACCAATGAACGGGTGTGGGTATGGCTGTAGGTGAGGGTGTGATTTGATTTTTATTCTATACTCGCACCCACACCCACACCCTTGATAATTTAGGAGGCTGAATGAAAATGTGTTGAAGGACATTTTTACGACTCACGAGGCAAGCACGCTTTCAAGAACACTACAGAGCAAAAAGACAAATGAGAATAGAGAAAAAGTCAGTCAATCTATGCGCGAAAATGGAGTGTCAAACAACCGATCATCCTTTCTTTGATGTGTAGCTGAAGTCGAGAATTCAGCAACTGTCTTAGTATCGAATTAAAACCTAAACAAGTGGAACTAGCAGATCGACGAAACGCTGAGGAGTCTCCTTCGTTAACACGAAAAGGCTTCGAACAAGAGACGAATAAATTTCGTCGATTGAACACACTAAGCTTCACGTTTTTCTTCGTACGACTCGATGCCTAATTTTTCTTTTCTGCCAAACTGTTCTCTAGAAGTGATTCTAACTGCTATTGATTTTTCTATTATCGTGTCACTATCATCCATCGAATTCAACCTGATAAACAGAAATATTTGAGAAATAAATTGCAATTGACAATAAGTAGAGAATGTAATGAACGTTTCTGCAAAGTCCGTCGAGATCGAAACTGAGTATTATTGCTTCAGTCTTTAATAAAGCTTTGTTGTCCTTCTTACAATCTTCTAGAGCTGACTATTACCTTTTGTTATTCTCAAAGTAGCCGGGCCGTGGTCTAGTCTATTGAAATGACATATGAAGAGTCATTGTTTAATCGTCGCCTGCATACCACTTGTAAGAGCGCTGGTCCAGTCTTTTATCTCTTTCTGTCCCGACCCCTTAGGCAACTGTGCAAACGAATGCCAAACGCATCGATATCCGTTCGTCCTCCAATGCTGATAACTGTTAGACATTTTTCTCAACAACGGAATTTCGGTATTTACGCGAGACACTACGATCGAAATCAACTTCACCCAATGAAATACAACAATTGTTGGAAAGCCATTCTCTTCATTACATAACGACGAAAATATCTCGTTCAATCACTGGGACATTTTTTTTATCTTAGCTTTACGAAAGATGCATCTTTTATAAACTGTTGGATTTGCGTCGATAATGTCGATAATTTTGCGTCCTTGACTTATTCAAAAAACAGAGAGTCACTCAATCCACTGAAGTTTCTTGACAATAAGATAACAAACGACGATGTTAATGACACTTGTGTGCAATAAACATCCTCTAAAATAAAAGTATGAAATCGTAAACCGTTTTCTGCATTCACTTTCAACAACCGAGCACAAGCATACAACGATTGAAAGAAACATCAACAAATGTCGATGCAGCAGTCGAACGGTGGATTCACGTTTTCTTCTAGATCGAAAGTGTCTCCGCTGACTGAAAGTGAGTCTTTTTAAAAAGAGAGACCAATCACAAATTCAATATGCATATTCGATTCTGTTAAAACACAGAATAGAGAGATATTTGGAATCTTCAGTGTCTAACTGTTCAATTCTTACTCATTGCAGAACTTCAGACTTTATGCCATCGTGTTTCCTAAAAACATTCGGTTCACTACCGTCGTCATACTCGTGACGAGTTCGTCTTACCTATAGTCATCTGTAGAAAATTTTCCTAGTCGATGTAGAACCTGAACATGTTCCTATTCAGGTACCTTTCACATCCAAAGAAATAGAAATGCAATTTAGAAAATAATCGTAGACGATCTATGCAAATATACGTGATTCTGGATGTAGATGTTTTCAAAAATGTTTTCAATTGGTGTCGTCATCTGTAAAAAAAAAGTAACACAGTACAGCACTGTTTTTCTTGTCTAGGCTCGACTTAGGGCACAGAACGTTCACTATGTCAATACGGCTTTCAATTCATCAGAACTAAGCAACATCTATGAGCAAAGCTTACCGCTATGGATGGTGCGTAACACAATCATGAAACTACATGCATACTTTTCGTAACACCCAAACGTATTGTTACAGCCATGCAACAAAGGAAAACCAATGAAGACGTACTTCACAACAAAAGAGGTCTCAAAAAGACTAATGGGGCTCGTGTATGAAAGATGATTAGCGAACGCTGCGATACTTTATAAAAAAAAACAGATTTTCTGCTCCGACACTACTCATTCACTTCCGCGAAATTTATTCTGCTGAGTATAATGGGAGTGAATGTCAGAGAACCCAATAATTATCAGAAACCGCACAGAAGAAAAGCTGACCAAAACATGAACGAGAAGAGTAGTTCCGCGCGGAGAAAATGCAGTGATCATGCTAGATATGGACAAGATCATACAAAACGGGACATATCTTCTTTCATTTAACTGTTATTTTCTACAATAGCCATTTTCTCAAAGAAATTATTTCACATAGACCTACGTAAAATTGTTGCCTCTTCTGACTATTAATCAAAACTGCTTAATTAGTTAGCTGAGTAATTATTAAATAATTGTCGAGAATCTCGCTAGTTATTTGAGAAAGAATCTGAGACCTTTAGGAACAGACTCTAGGGCACGAGTTAGATCTGAGAAGATCGCACTCCAAAAATGATTTTCCGAACAATCGTGGTTTTCTAGAGACCTTCTCAGGCACTAAAAGAAAACATTTCATGCTACCATTATCTAAGGACTCCAAGCAAGGACTTACATCCTGTAGAATCGTTTGTGAACTTGTTGTTCATTTAAAAGAACACTTGTTCGGTCGTACGTTCGTATTCCGTCATGCCACGAATGAAGAACCAACTCGCTAACGAATAGTAAATGAGTGCTATTGAAAACCGTAAGTATGCTCAGAAAGTCTGAATAGAGATTTTGTAGCCTCATTCATCATCTGCTGAATGCAATAGTCAGTTTTGAAAAGTAATATCTCGATCTGGAGCCTTTTTCAGTTTTAGATGCAAAAAGTGAAAGTTGACGTCCTTTTTGTGTCACGTCGCTAGCGATCATTTCTTTACTCATAGCTTCTCGCAACAAAGTTCGCCAGCATTGATCTCAACACACATTTAACGTGTAAAAAAAGAGCTCTATGAAAGCTACCCAGCCCGAGATCTGAATATTTTAATTGCGCGGCATCCTTGGTAATGAAAGATCTTGCCCATATACGTTCACAAACGAATGAAGCGAGAGAAATGAATGCCGATGCTGTGGCAAAATTAAAACGTTAGTTTTGTCCAGCACCATTCGGGGTCAAAATTGAAAATGAAAATGTCGTTCTACGAACTGTCGCGTTCGGTTTCATGAAGCACGAAAAGAAATGAGTGTTGAAATAGAAATAGAGCGACAAGTGGACTATTGAAGGTCAGTCTACATACATGAAGAACATCAAGGGCCATCATATCATTGATGAGATCGCTAATTCATCAATATACTATTCTAATGATTTAATCATTTTAGCTTTTGTCATTCGATTATTTATCTATCAGTTTTCAAACTATTTCTTGAGCATTATCAGACGAATACGTTGATACTTGGTTACTGATTCGTTTTTATTTATTTATTATCGACTTGTTTACTGTCTCTTTATTGATTATTGATTGAGTGACCATCTTTTTCTCTTTTATTAATCGGTAAATAATGATTTTTGAAATCTTTTTTTTTTGGAAAGCAAATAATGAGTGTGAAAATGTACTGTGAGAAATTGTGCTGCTATCCCACCAGCATGAAAAACATTACTGTTGACGATGTAGATAGCAGGGACCATCATTCATTGGTTATTCATCAGCAGATTTTGTGAAGTAGGAAAGGGAACATGAGAAATAGTACGATGAGAAATATCGAACCACCTTCCGCCTCCCACAGATAAGAGAGAGAGCACAAAGATCATGTTTCGATGTTGACAATTCACTGACTGTACTTTGTGTCACATTTTTACCCCGTACGAATTACGCTCGGCAGTTTTTATTCTTTGCAGCGTTTGTTTCGAACAAAATTCGAATTTCGAGACTTTGCTAAGAAGAATTAAAATGTCCAATGTGCTCGAAACCCGACAGAATACGTCGAGTATTTTGATTTCGTTGAAGAAAAAGTGAAATTTTGTCCTCAACATAAATGCATCAGAAGAAGAGATAACACGTACGTCGTTATTCGTGCTCAAGAAACGAAGAATAAAAGGTGAAAATCTCGTGCAACCTACAATACATTGCTTTCAATAGAAATCTGAAATAAAATGAGAACGTATACGTTGTATTTCCGTGACCAAACTGTTCAGTTACACTTTTCTTACACGAAGGGAAAGTGACAAAGCGCACATATCACGAACAATTTCGATTTTCAGGATAAAAAGAACCGTAATTGTTTCGTTCGAAAACATCTTGTTTTCATTCATCATGACAGAATGGTCAGAAAACCGCATTTTTGCGCAAAATTACAACAGAAATAAACCTTTTCGTGATGCATGATAATCGACATAGGGTTGAATGACGAATTCTTTTAATATAGACAATGAACAATAGAGAGCACTGCGAAAAAAGCAAAACTGCTAAATAGCTGAATTAATTTTCAATGGGAGAACAAACTGCTCATCGTTTTAGCGGAACAGAGCGTGGATTTGTCTTTATGAGTAAAGTGCAGTGATCAAATATGACAAAGGTTTTGGACTCGTTTCTAGGTGCACTTATCATTAGCCAGACTGCTATAATTTGTATTCTAGGTAAACAACGACAATCCTGTCGACTGGATTGGGCTGCAGCATCGTGGACAAGATGGATACAGATACCATTGCTGTTGTGGATAACACCCATTCTCAGCTTGGGTAATAGACGGAAGCTTTCTGACGACGATCTTGACGATCTTTCTCCCAGCGACAAATGCTCGTTCTTATTGAATAGAGTGAATCAGCGCAGTCCGAAATGGCAGGGCACCTGGGACGTATTCTGGAGAATATTTTTTAAAGATTTTCTAATGAGTCTCTTGCTCGTTATTCCACTCAATGTAGCACGCTTTTCACAGCCATTGCTTATTCGTCAAATCGTTCTCTTTATCAAAGGCCAATCGAATTTGTCTACATACATGGGTTATCTATGTGCTATTGGTCTTGCATTTTCGGCGTTCATACAAGCTATTATAAATCAGCAAATCTTATTTCGAAATACAAATGTAGGCATGCGTATTCGGAATGCTTTGTCAGCAGCCATCTATAAGCACTTGTTGACCATCAATACTGCAGCTCTTCACAAGACTACGGCTGCGCAGACGATTAATTTAGTAGGAAATGATGCTGGTAAATTTGAAGAGTTAAGTTTGTACGCCCATGCTCTAGTGTATGTACCGCTGGAAACTGCTATAACGTTTGGTCTTGTTTGGTGGAACATCGGTTTACCGACGTTATTCGGCTACGGAGTCCTGTTTTCAGTAGTACCTCTACAGCTCTTTTTCAGTCGATTATTCCGTCAGTATCGAAAGGCTACTATGACATTTACCGATAAGCGTGTGCAAACGATCAATGAACTCATCAATGGTTGTCAAATAATTAAGATGTATAACTGGGAAAAAGCCATGAAGCAACGAGTACGTGAAACACGTCGACGTGAACTGTCGAACATTTACAAAGCAAGCTGTTTGAGAGCTATCAATAAAGCTCTTTCCTTCTCAACGTTACCACTGGTCTCTCTTGCTACATTTGGCGGTAGTTGGTTAACAGGAAGTCCTTTGCTTTCGGAAGACATTTTCTCGACACTTGCCTTCTTCGCACTGGTCCGAATACCAATTACTGTTATTATGCCCGACGCTATCGAAAAATTTAGCGAAGCTCGCGTTTCGGCAAGAAGAATCAATCATTTTATGCAATTCGACATGTTGCTAAACAAGCGCGAAAAACTGGGAAACAAAAATGGAGATTATGCCATCGTTATGGAGAATGCATCATTCGTATGGAAAGATACTCCGTCTCTATTTTCTCTCAATCTCAAAGTCAGCAGCGGTAATTTGGTAGGAGTTACAGGTGCCATCGGTGCCGGCAAGTCCACTTTACTAGCTGCGATTCTCGGTGAGATCAATCTTTTCAGTGGAAAACTACAACTTTATGTCGACTCGATATCGTATGCTCCACAATCGGCATGGATATTTGCTGATACGATTCGAGCGAATATTCTTCTTGGCAAACCAATGGATGAAGAACGCTATAAGAATGTCATAAAGGCATGTTGTCTCGATATCGATCTACAGAATTTCGGCGACGTCGGTGATTTGTTGATGATCGGTGATAAAGGGGTCAATCTGAGTGGCGGACAAAGAGCTCGAATATCGCTCGCACGAGCTCTTTACGCGGATGCCGACTTGTATTTACTTGACGATCCATTGGCTGCCGTCGATCCAAAAGTGGCAAAGAATATTTTTGATCAATGTATCGGTCCTCGTAGTCTCCTTCGTGGAAAGACTCGAATATTGGTTACACATCAAACACATTTTTTAGTTGAATCCGATCAAATAATCGTTATTAGGAATGGTCGTATTGACGAGTTAGAAACTGAAAAACAAGCTGTTGTTGAGCAGTCTAATGAAACATCAGAAACGGATGCATCGAACGACACAGACACAGATTGGACACCGAACAAAGCAACAACTGATTCTAATTCGATTGTGAAAGATGAAACGACACTTGAGGGTGGCATTCAGTGGAAAGTTTGGTTCCAACTGTTTACCTCACCACCATTACGTTGGTTCGGCGCTTTTGTTATGATTATTTTAATGCTTGGCAGTGAAGCTTTGTATGATTTTACCAACAATTGGCTTGCTCTGTGGTCTGGTAAATCTGAACAAGAACAAAAATCGACATATTATATTTACGTCTATCTAGGCGTTATTATTGCGACATTGACTGTGGCATTAGTACGTGTTGCCTACATTTTCTATGTTATGTTATGCGGTGCCACCTATTTTCACAATCAAATGCTCAAAAGTATCTTGTATACGTCGTTACGTTTCTTTGAAAGCAATCCAAGTGGTCGAATACTGAATCGAGCAAGCAAAGATCAGCTAGTGTTAGACTCATCTATACCGCAAGCCATAATTGATATGATGCAAAATCTACTAATGACTCTCGGTTCTATCGTCGTCATTGGAATGACTAATCCGTGGGCACTTCTAATACTCTTAGTTTTCATTCCTGTAGTTTTGTGGCTGCGCCGCTTTTATATACGTTCGAGTCGTCAAATCAAACGGCTCGAAAATATCACGCGGAGTCCGGTCTATGCCTTGTTCGCATCGTCTTTAGATGGACTCACCAGTATTCGTGCGTTTGATGTTCAAGACGATTTTTTGAATATGTTCATCGAACGAATCGATACTAATGCACGATCCTATTTCATTCTCTTTAGTACTGGTCGTTGGCTCGGTTTACGACTCGATCATATGACATCGTTGCTCACTCTGGTGACTGCTGTACTTGCCGTAGCATTGCGTCACCAAATCGATCCATCGGCAGCCGCACTTAGTATCACCTATTGTATCACTTTAACGGGTCTCTTTCAATGGGCGATTCGACTATCAGCCGAAGTGGAAAATTATATGACCAGTGCTGAACGTATTTATGAATATGGTCAGCTTGAATCAGAAAGTCATCGAAATTCGAATGCAAGCAACGTTCTTGTTCAGCCAAGCAGTGACTGGCCTTCTCATGGTATTATCGAATTTAAAAATTATACTTTTCGCTATAGACCTGAGCTTGATCCGGTACTAAAACGTGTGAATCTACGCATCGAATCTAAGGAAAAGATTGGAATCATTGGTCGCACAGGTATCGTTACTTTTTTTTTCAGCAATCCATCTGTAGAGCATTTGACTACTGTACAAACATGATTTCGATCAAAACACGAAATAGGATCGAGCTGCTCCAGATGTTTGTATGAGTTAGAAGCTATTCAAAAGTATAAGGTAAATACATTCGGATCTCTTGCATGTACTGAGCTTCTCGAGCAACTAGACGACTTCTAAATGGCTGTTGAGGGAAGTTGGAAATTAAGATCATTCAAACAGTCGTCGCTGATCAGTAACGCATTATTATTACAATCAAAACAAGTGTGATAAAATCTGTTAGTTATGCCACGCTGTATGTGTAGAGTAGATTTAGCGATTCAGTCGAACCTAAGTCAGCTGACGCATGGCGAACTGTCAGTTGTTGAACGCGGAAACGAGGACGTTTGCAAGAAAAAGTAGCATCGTCGCGCTAACATTGCATTTCTACTTCTCCACGACGGTCGACTATAGCCACCCGATGAGTGCTTGTGCAATACTGACCCTTGATTGCATCTAGATTTTATTCGTCAGCGAGCAGAGTACAATTTTTATTCCAGTCAATAGGTAAAGTGACGTTTCTCGTTCGTTTCAGTCGGCAGAGTTGCGCTGGTATCCGATCTGCGTGTTCGTTCAGACGATTAATCCGAGATGATTGAAAGGGTTCGACTGGTAGACCACTGTGCTTGTTGCAGTTGAAAATCGGAGCAAGACAGTCAGTTAAGTTTGCTTCGTTTTTTCTACAGCAGCTTCTGAAAGTGCACTAGACGAATGATACGTAGAAATGGTGTCAAAAAATTTAGTGTCCATCGTGCGTAAATCTACCTCATCGACGAGTGATGTCTCATGAGCTCCTTGACTCTACTTTATGAGATGTACAGATCTTCCAGCATACGTTGGAGCTAGACGCGTCACTTACCGATGAGCATGTATTGCTCAGTTGCAAGGTTTCCATCAGCGACGATAATGGACCGACGACGATCTTAAGTTTTACCTAACAGTTGTGACATTTCTCTCCAACGGAAAACGAAGGGAGATCGAAGAAAGTTGCTGAGTTGCATTTGCCTCAACATCACCTTCGTAGAAGTTCAACAGAGTTGTGAAGAATCGTTATCGACATAGTGCCATTTGAGAGGCGTCGGTGTTCTCATCTACGTGAAGACTTCTTTGGACTCTTTTTTTGTTAGAAGGACCGAGCGTTGTGTATTCGATTGACCCTGTAAAATTTGAGCAGGCATTCTTTTCTCGTGGAATTTGTCCTGTAGCAATCGCTTCAAGCAGTGCGCAAAATATGCATTTATGGTACTTTCAAGAAGGCAGTTTCTTAGTACAGAACAATGGTTGCTTAGTGAACATTCCATACGGAAGTCCAACTTCGACAAAGATAGATTGAGGATGTATTTTTACAAACGAAACAGGTGGTAACAGTTTCACACATAGGTTTCTTTCCCAGCAATTTTATGCGACGATTATCGAGTGTGACATGAGTATTATGTAGCATATCGAAGATCTCGTGAAATGAAACGTAATATTTGCTAACGTCGTCTTTTACTCCACGAATCTTTTCCATCGATTTCTTTCGAACATCGAAATTGACCATATCGTACTGTTTCAGAAGCGATTAATCCGTGCTACTTTTCAGTAAAGCGTTTCCACTCTGTAACATTTACTGATTAGTTTCACTGTGAAGAATAGATCGTTCAAAAAATTATTTTTGAATTTCAATGTTTCGGTGCTGAAACATCATTTTCAAGTGTTAATCATTACCTTTACTTGCCACCGAAGATGATGTTGACTTTTATTGTAAAGCAGCAAGATGTTTGTAGGACTGATCGACGGCTTTCAGACCATAAGGTTTTTCTTGGTATATGTCTCTTTATGATTTCAAAGAATGAACGACAAGTAAGCGATCAGTACTGAAACATCAACGGTTGGCTCGTCTGTGAGCTCATGCCACACGATGTTCATTCTAGTAATAGCGGATTTTCTGCGCTTCATGGAGATGACCTTTTGATAAGGAATCGAACGGAACTCTTGAAAAAATGTTGTGTTATGTTTTTTTCCATGTGAAGGAACAGAACTTATCGAAGTCGAGCGTAGATGTGAGAAATTGCCGTCAGTTTAGAAACTTCTTGAAGACTCAGCTTGAACCTTTTTTTTTTGGTAGCGATAAAGTAACTTCTATAAGTTCAGGTCAAAACATGTTGTACAAGACAACGGTGTCAGTCATAGCTTATGAAGGAAGGTGTTTGATGTTAATTGTTCCTACAGAACCTGTTTTTCGTGGAAGCACAACGGTGTTCAATTTCTCAGATACCGTCGTTACAGTCTTTCGAATCGATCTAACCTTCTTCTTGTAAGTGATGTAAAATTAAGGGCATCTCGTTTCTGTCCATACTATATGGATTTTTAACAGCAAAAGAAAGGACAAAGTACGTCGACACTATCTGAAGCTGTGTGAAGTGGAAACCATGCTTATCACTCTACACCGACAGAACAGTTTTCAAAGTAGCAGATTAGCTCGCTGGTGGATACTATACACGCTTCTAGCTACCGTAGTTCTGGTCCAGGACATCTGTTTTAACGATGTGAGTGCCATGAGAAAACCTGTCAATTTCGCTTGAATCGAAATGTGACATATACGATTGTAGAGCATAACTCACGATGGATCGAATGGAATCATGCATGCAACGTTTCCGTCGTTGTTTCGAGACTTTATTTCGTGCAAAACATTAGAACACTTGACCAAAATGTCACGTACTCAATACTCAAGTCAACTTCGGCCAACTTCTAATTAAAATTCAGTCATGTATAGTCGACGTTTGAATCATTTATCCATTGATCAATGTCGTCATCCTTGTCTGTTTGCAACGATCCTATCATTCGTAAGAGCATTCTTGAGAGGTGGAACGAAGCAATACTAGATAAATACAATAAGAAGGCACGGAATATCTCAGGGATGTTTTTGTGCCATCGTTTTCTTCAACTTTGGTATTATGCTGAATTCTGAATTCGAGCTGCAATTCTAATTGTCAAAGCATGGTAACAACACGAGAATAAAAAGGATGTGTTTATTGATTCAAAACCGAGCAACGCTAGTCCTCGTCGACACTGGTGACCTACTGGATCGATCGTTCTTTTAAGCAAGGGTCAATGCCTAGTATATCATATCGCTCAGTCAATATGTAGATTTTAGAAACATGAAACAGTGATGAAAACCGGCTATGCATTATCCCGTTCGGTCCATCGTGAGTTGTGCCACTAAACCACCCATACGACAGGGTACTTTTTCTTTGACAACGTGCATTTTCATATTGAATTGTAATCGAAAAACACTGGATAGTCACATGTGCAATTACTCTCATGCCAATCTACAGTTTTTCCGCATGATGTTTGTCTAGGTGCTGGAAAGTCATCATTACTTCAAGCTCTCTTTCGACTTGTCGATCAATCCGCCATCAATGGGACTATCCTCATCGACGGCATCGATATTGGACATCTTTCTCTCGATACTCTTCGCTCTCGTCTAAGTGTCATTCCGCAAGTACCTGTACTTTTCTGTGGCACACTCCGGTACAATATTGATCCGTTCGAACAATTCTCAGATGAACAATGCCTTACGGCACTAGAAGCTGTTCAACTCAAAAAACTGGTGCGCAGCCATCCCGATGGGCTGCATCTACGAGTAGCCGAATCGGGTACCAATTTGAGTGTCGGTGAACGTCAGCTAATTTGTGTAGCTCGAGCGATTCTGAAGAAGAGCCGTATATTGCTTATTGATGAGGCCACAGCAAATGTGGATCACGCCACCGATCAAATGATTCAAGAAGTGATTGCTGACAAGTTTCGTGATCGTACGATTCTTACGATTGCACACCGATTAAATACAATAGCCAACAGTGATCGGATTCTTATGCTAGAACAGGGAGAAGTTGTCTATTTTGATGCACCGAATAAAATTCCTCTGTTTTAGTGTAATCATGGAAAAAAAAGTTAGTTTTCAGAGCGCAATATCATCGGAATAAAACGCGAGATAGCATGATTAATCTATCCAAGCGATGATAGTTGCATTGGAGTGTATGGATGTGGGTGTGGGGATGGTGTAGGTTTGGGTGCAAGGGGGAAAAGGTGAATTTTCAGGATTTGAATCCCAATAGAAATACGAGAAATCAAAAAAAATTCATGAGAATCCCAAAAATCCCATAAGAATCTCAAAAATCTCATGAGAATCTCAGAAGTACAATTGAAATCCATAGAATTTTATGTATGTTTTAAGGGACGATCATACACGAACAAGCGGAACCCTGCAATTATCGGACTTTTTCCTATAAGAAGTGTTCATTGAATCTCCTCGTGTTTTTAAACTTTCAGTTTCATAAGAAAACATAGTGAGTACACTGTAAAAAAAGCGTAGAGAATAATAAACCCTTTAAGGATTTATGAAAGTGCAACGAATAATATACCCTTTTTACCGTATGTCATACTTTTCATAAACCCTTTGGAAGGGTATACGATTCTCATAAACCCTTAAAGGGTATATTATTAGTTGCATTTTCATAAACCCTTATAAGGGTTTATGAAAATCATATACTCTACCAAAAGGTGTGGATGTTGGTGTGAGTGTGCGTGTGCGTGTGGATGTTGGTGTGGATGCGGGTTAAGGGTGAACTCACATCCACGCCCGCACCCACACCCACATCCACCCACACCCGCACCCACACCCAATACATGCCTATGCCGTTTTGCATGTTTCAACGTTGTTAACAACACTGCGCAATTGCACAAGTATATTTCGACAGTCTTCGTTCGATTGATTGATATTTGTATCGATCCAAAGAACTATATAATTCTCTGCCATGCGTCGTCTTCGTGACATGGCTGCTGTACTTGCCGCAGCACCTGCATTTGATGGTGTAATGCTTTGTTTGGAGTTGTTGCAACCCATTTTAGATTAATCTTCGAGACATTGAAGCAATACTTGATTATTGTACAATACAGACTGTTGTTTCGCCAGATATTACTCGTGCTTTTTATATATTCAATGTGGGTTTTTGTGCTTCTAGATTTTTCTGTTGCGTCAAATGTTGATAGTTTTGTTTTTCGTTGATACTCAACGACAAATTTCATCTAGTTTTAATTCAAACTACCGTTGTCAACAACGATTCAGTGGGAGAGAAAAACTTAACGATAGCATTATTTTCTACTATGATTGTTTCCAACTCTCATTTGCTTTTCATTTAGATAAGAGTCGCTTTAATGTCAATATGTTGGATACCTTGTCTCACTCGTTGTTTTTGTTATTCTTTATTTTGATCTAATTAAAACGATTGCTTTTCTCTTTCGGACAAGAATATAAAGATAACAACAAAGATATATTTAATTTTTAGGGCGACAGCATTGAAAAAACATGTTTTATTGACTGAAGTAAGGTGAAGTTAGTTGAGGAACAGTGGCATAGCCAGAGGTACGGCCATTGGGCAATTGCCCATGGATTTTTTGAAATGATACCAATTGCCTAATGCTGTAAAATCTTGATATACATACATGTACAAAGATTCAAGTGATGTCATCTTAATACATTGTATCTTGTTGTGATCTAATCAAGTGTTCCAGAAAAATCAACTGACTATTTTTTCCATTAAACCAATGCTCACAATGATGACAATTCAATGGTATTTTTTTTGTCAAAATATTCGTTATTCTACTTCAATTCACTACTGGTTCTATTTGTGCTTATTTATGTTTTTAGACATAATATATTCAAATATTTGAAAGTTGACGAGTACATTTGTGAAACAGTCCAAAAAAAAGCTGTTAGTGCAATCCATGCAGGATTAAAATGTGAAAAACGATGTAACTGCTGTTACTAATCACGAGAATATTGTTTTATTCAATCTATCTTGGGACCCATGTTTTCATCATCGTTCACTTAATCCTCTAGAACTGCAAGAAGGAAGGAATTCATATATTCTCATGAGATGCTAGTGATCTATGATCACTAATCGTGTATCAAAAACCTCTGTCACGATCTATGGGGAGCACAGTGAACAGCCCAGGCAACAAAATCAATTTTCGAGATTTGAGCCTATATCATAGCTAGCATTGAAGCTACTATGGTGCTGTATTTAAGTGCATTCTGAACGCTGCTTTATAGTGAGTGTCTGTTAAGCAACAGGTACCACAAAGTACATTAAATTAGTGAATATCATTAATAGAACCATGTCAGTAACTTGTATGTTTTCAATTGAGGATCTAATTATAATCATTGGTTATTATTTAGTTATACAGAGTGATGTATTTAGTATATATTACAGACTATTTCGACTTTTTGAAGTTCTTTAGGCTATAATAAGATCAAAAACTTATGCTCATTCTTGTAGTAAAAAAATAACCACTGGTCAATAATGCAGTTATTTTCCCGAAACTTTAATTCGAGTTTTAATTTCTTATTTGGCAGAGCATGTCATCATCTATCTTCAGTGAATGCGCAAAGATGCGCGTTTAAATCCTTGTCGAGATATCGTATCTCAAATGTAACCTTCTATCAAAATTTGTTGACAATTTTATACAGTGATCACTCATGTTCTAATCCATCAAGTTTCGAATAGATAAATAAACAGCACACGTACACCAACCTCAGATTTTAGATTGTCCATTTCACTTTAAAATCGGTTCTTTGACTTTTTCTTAGGAATTAAATATATGACAAAATCATGCATATGTTCCCTTGTAAGACGTACACCCCAAACAAAAATCTTTCCCCTCTTTATCTATTTATGATGTCAAACTTTGTATTAAATTTATTACTGAGTAGAGATATGACATGAAAGTTTGATTTCATTTTAGTGCACAGATTACACTAATAAAACTCTCATGTCATATCTTTACTTAGTAATAAATTTGATGCAAAGTATAGCAACATAAAAAGATAAAGGGAGAAAAGACTGTTGTCTGAGTGTGTAAATGATTTGTTTCATACTTTTATTATTTTCCCGTTCGTCAAAATACACCGAGTTGCACGATCTTTCTAAATTTCGTCCGAGACAGATAATGTTAGTTGAAGTGAATATTTTTCGTAATAAGAGCCAACAAAGATAGCAATATATACTATGAATATTGAGAACTTTAGCTTTTAAACAGAGCTTCAAAAAATATGAAATGGATGTGGGTGCTAATATGGATGTGGATGTGGGTGTTAATCTTCCTTTCATGCATACCGACATTCAGATCCACATCCACACCCACATCCATACCCACACCCACATCCACATCCAAATCCATACCCACATCCATACCCACACCCGCACTCCACACCTACACCCACATAATGGCACATACTCCAACAAACTCTGATTATTTTATAAAGATATTCTGTTTATTTGATTTTTCAACATAGTTTATTTTGACTATTAGAGAAGCAGATTTGAAAATGTCTTATTTTCTTGTATTTTATTTCGAAAAATTCTCTTTAACTGATGTGTTGTTTTTTTTTTATCAATTGAAACCGTTGAAAAAGAGACGATTAGTTTCTGTTGCAACTATTTATTGTTTTTAATAAATCTCTTCAATGAAAGTTCATATGTAAAGCTAACTTTATCTTATTTTTGATTCAATATACTGACGAATAATAAATGTATGTATCCTAAATCGACATTTGAACATCTTCTAAGTGTAGTTCCTAGATCTGAGTTGAGTATGTCATCTATTTGGAATTTAATATAAAATTAACGAAACTAGATTGATTTTATTTTTAAAAACTTTATCTCAACTTGAAAAATGAAAGATATTTCAATCAACGATGAATCTGTTTGTAATATAATTTTGAATTGAAAAGAAAAAGAAAACAATGGCAGAAGTTAACACAAAAAAAAGTTGTTAATCATCTCAACATTTTTCATATAATTAGAATATCTAATAAAAAATAAACTTTGTAACAGATTGATTAATAGAATAAATTAAACCAAAGTCAATTGAAAAGAATCAACCTTTGCAAATGAATATCATTAAATGAAGACAAAAAATAAATTTTAGTTGACTTTTAAACGTTAATATGATTAGTCGAAGGTAATAAAGCCTAAAATAGAATAGAAAGAATTTTTGAAAATATATAGATATAGAAAATTAAATAAGCATTATTTAAAATGATATTCTAGACTTACATCTATTTGATCAATAGTTTGTTGCTGTTCGTCTTGAATTTTTTGAATAGCATCGGATATTGTTGCCATTATTGTCACTGAACATATTTTACTTATGCCCAAATTTTGTAATGTTTCCCATTCATAGTCTTTAAAATGATTGAAATATTTTATATATCTCATTTATTGTTATTTTTCATAGAAAAAAAAAACAATAAAGCAAGAATTTTCGACAAATACTTTAGCTTTTATAAAATAATACAATGAGTTTGCTAGTTTTTCCATTGAGACTATAAAACGATATGCAATAAACGATTAAAATTATTCAAGATACTCAACAAATTAGTTACGAATTCAATATGAAATTTCATAAAATAGTTTTTCTATCTGCTTATATAAGTATTAATTAAATTGAAATAACAATATCTATGTTTAGACGTCTATCGACATAAGTCATTATTTCAGTGATTATTCGATATTGATGTTAATCAATATCGTTTCAGTAATTCATTTATTTCGTTAAACAAATTTTTCCGAGACATTTATTCGAAATAAAATCTTATATTGATAAGATTATTAAAAAAAAAGTATTCGATTTTATAAATAATTAAAAATGTTAAATTTTATTCTAAAATAATAATACTTACATGGTAAATTGCACAAATAAACTTGATATTTTCTATCATTGAGTTCTTTAATTGTTTGAATAAAAATTTTTCCACCAGAATAATCAATTTGACTAATAGCTGAACAATCAATGATAACATGCATTTCATTTTGATCATATTGAATGAATCTCTCACTAGATGAATCTATCTTTTCTTTATTTGTTTTCGATTTATCTTCAAGTGCTTTTAAAATGCTATCATTAAAATATTCACCATTAAAATACATAACAGGCGCTTCAAAACGTAACATTTTTATATTTGTAAATTCACGAGCCTTCAATTATAAAAAAATAACCAACGTATTCAATTCAATTAGCATATAGATATGTCAAATCTTACGTTTGAATAATCTTGTGACAGTCTATGTACTTGATTATCCTCTAAAACACCAAGCACAAATGTCCGAGGTCTAAAAAATAGTGTATTTTCTTGTTTTGTTTCTTTTATAAAACAAAAAAAATCAATCAATCAATCAACAAAATCTTCACCTGAAATGGTAAAGTATAACGACAATGAATGAAACAAATATACCAACAATAAGTCCATAATCAACATCAAGAATAATTGTACTGACAAATGTCGATATCCAAACAATCTAAATCAATTATGTTAATTCGGAGAGAAATATTTGACAATTATTAATTTTTGAAACTAGTTGCCCTATATTTCATATTGAATTCCCAGTCGATAGTAGAAGTTTCGAACATCAAACAAATCAGACATATTTCTTTCTTATTTATTACTCTATAGAAGGCAATAAAAAGGTATTATGACATTCTATTGAGACGTTATCGACATTAATTTTGAAAATTTCAAATATGAAAAAAGTTTAAGACGAACGAGAAAAACAAAGCTCGATTAAAATTCGAAAGAAAAAGAGCAACTTTTTTTTTTGAAGACGTTGAAATGTATTATTATATTTTTCTAGTTCAATATATTGCTTTTCAATTCTGCGATGAAAATTCTATTAAAGAAGATTTTCTAAATTGTATTTACTTTTGTGGGTCAATGTGTGAAGTTTCACTATTTAATCATCAAAATTTCTTTTATAGGGAAGAATTAAGTTAACATGCGTTATTATTTGTTAACCTTCTTTTTATTAATTATTAATACAAACGTCGAATTCTACTTATCCATCTAGATATTCTCCATCAAATGTCACTTAAAATGCAATATAGATATTATCTTCGAAATAAAATTAGTTAATTTAATAGCATCAAATATCTCTCAAATCACCTATCTGATGGGCAGTTTTTGATGATGACCTCGAGATCCCTTTCCGTTATCGAAATTTTGAAAAAAAATACTTATTCTTTTTAAAGAACATATCAATTTATACACCGTTCATTTCAGCTTTCGTTTTCAATTCATATTATGATACTTATTTTAGATTTCTAACCATGTTTTCATGGTAAAACTTCAAATGTATAATTAGATAATATCCGAGAAAATTAATTCATAGAATTCTACTATTCAGCAAAGTTAATCAATCAATTTTTTTATTTCAGATAATAGGTATCACTATTAAGTTTTTATTTGAACGGATTAACTTGACAAATACTGTTTAATCTGTATATGGGCGAATATTTTAGATGAAAATATTCTAATTGACGTTTCTTCATCGATAGCTGAGCTAAACAGCAAATGGCTAAGAAAAACGATCATCAATCCTACTGCATAATGCGTCAGCTGGAATATATTTCGAACTTCTTTTTTTTTTAATTTGACTGAGTTTCATTCATAGGGAATATGTTGAGTCGAGTAATATTGAATAGTTGTATATGTTTCCTAATCGAACTCAATATGAAATCGAAACATAAGTGAAAATAACTGAAAAAATTCTTGTGAATAGTACTGACTGCTTCGAGTTTAGTTACACGTCCAATTGTCAATATATCTGTCACTTTCATTAATAAATTTCGAAGTGAAACAATTATAATGGCTACAAGACATGCCTAAAAATAAAACAGAAATAAAAAATGTGTCAAATTATTGAAAAAACCAAGAAAAAAAGTTTGAGACTTTTGGCATCGGTTCAAGAAGTGGTCCAATCTTTAGAATTGTAATCGAGAGAAACATACAGGATATAATGCCGACCAACTAGTAACAATTAAATCATTAATTAAATAAAAGAAATCATTTTTATATAAGATATATTTTAACCTGTGTTCGACCGCCTAAATTTACGCAAACACTTGTTCGAGCTAATGACGAAGCACATGGATAACAACCAAAAAATGAACATATTATCTAAATCAAGACAAAAAACTTACAGAGTTAACACATTTACAATTTCTAGTCATCTTTTTTCTATTTTCTTTCATCACATTCGATCAATTTACATTGAAAAATAATTTCTTTTATAAATTCTAGATAATATATTCAATCGGATAGCTCTCTAGTCACGATTTTTAAAAATATCATTATTATCTCTTAACAACAGTTTTATTTTTATCAGCATCATTTTTTTCTGACATATTATTCTCATGTTTAGTTTATCCATGACATCACACTGAGTTTAACAATCCGAATAAAGCGTACTATTTAATAACATTATTATTCACTGATATTATTTATTTGACTTTCAATTTGATAATAAAAATGCATGATTTAAGTCAAATTTAAAAATATTCGAGAAAATGAAAAAAAAGCAATTGTTGTAATGATACTGTCTCTGAAGATATTCGTTTTCAAAAATTCTAAACTTACATTACACAGTCCATAGGCAGATAATTCTCGATTAGCATCAACAACATAATTAAGTTGCTTGGCATAATTTTTTGCAAGCGAATATGATATTGTATAGGAAACAATAGCGATTGGTATTGATTCTTTCACTAAAATAGGCAACAATTTCCATTCATGCCATTGAGGCGCACGAAAACTAAACATAAAATTACATTAGATATTGATATTATTTTGTTCAACATACTCGAATAAGGATATAATGGATTTAGTCGACAGAAAAAAAAAAACAATGAATTTTACAAGTCCAAACAATTAAAATCTATTCAGAACAATTAATTCAACACATCATCACAGCTCGTGTGTGAAACAAGAAAGGAGTGAAGAATTGAACAATAATTAAATATTTGAATTCAACTTTCAAGTTTGACACTAATGAAAAATTTGAAAAGTTCAAAGGAAAAACTTAATCTAATGTTAACAGTCTAGAATATAATAGAAGATAAAAATTCGAATTAATCTCACCCTTTTCCAATTGTTTTTATTGTCTTAACGTTATATCGACTATCAAGATGAAGTGTATATGATAAAATTGTACCAATTATAATCTATTGTTTAGAATATTTAACAGAAGATTAATATTTCAAAAAAACAAAAAAAAAAAAACTTTCGTCAATAATAATTAACATACAACAATTAATTCTATTGGAATAGGTATTTGAACTTTACGAAATATTTTCCATCGTTTTATCAATCGTTTATATAATGGTTCAAGATATTCTTTTACTGTATATATTGTAATAATAGCACTTATTGATATAAACAATGTAACAATATTAGTTTCTCGTAAACGTTTAAATAATTCAATATAGATCTAATTAAATAAAAATAAATAGTTATTAAATTTAATTATTAACTCACATAAACTATTTTGAAAAAACCTGTACGACGTTGAATTTTAATACCGAATAAATCTGGTATTTGAGATGTTAGAACGAGTACAGCAGTTGATGCTGTATAACCACTTATAAATGTATCTGATAAGAATAATGTTACAAATCCAAGTTGAAATATACTAAGTATTAACTAATTAATAATAGAATATTAATCAATTTATTTCAATTAATTATTTTCTATCTTACTTGTAATAATCCAACAGTAAATGAAAGTCCCATTGCAATAGTTACTTCATCATAAGTTGTTTGAAGACTATCATATGTTACATTTTTATGAACAGTTATTAATCCTGATTCAATATTAAAACTATTGATGACATTACCAGTCATAAGACTAATAACAGCAATACCACCTTTTCATTAACAAAATCAAATCAATTTATATAGAACAATATTAATAATAGTAAAAAAAAAAAGAAATATTCATTGTACAATTCTCATTTTAGTCAATTTATTTAAAGCGATCAAATGACTTCAACTAATTGAAAATAACAATTCTCTTTATATTAAGAATTATAACAGTAAGTCTTATGTCTATTATTCTTTTCAATTGGGCTATATATTAAATTTGATAATAAAAAAGTTAAATGTCAACTTTAGTATTTCGCGTGTCTTGGAATACATATTTAAAATAGTCAAGTCCAAGAGTTTTTCTATGTTTATAAATAGTATATAAAATAATTTCATAACTGATTTTCACAATTATCTGTAGAAATTTTTTTTCTTTACATTCATAATTTATAAAATTAGAAAACTTTAATAAATGATAATAAGAGTGAAAATTTAACTTCGAAATATTCAAGTTGTTCAACAAATCTAGATTTTTTTTGTTTACATTTTTAAAGGCAAAAATCGACAGAAAAACAATAATATTTTCACTAAAATGAATTTTTTCATAATCAAACTATTCTCTCGATTTTGTTTTAAATAAAAGGGATTGAAACTCTTCTAATATATATATATATATAAATTATTGTGTGTAATGCATCGATCTCAATCTTATTATATGAAAATATTGAATGGACCGAAATATTTTTTGTTCGATTATTTGAATAACTGTCACTGTAGATGAGACTTATTTTTATATCGATCATAATCGATCGAGAACTTTCACCTTTTTTTTCATTTCTATATAGAAATCATCATACACGACAACGATGAAAACAAGTTAATTTCTCATGGGAAATACATAGTTTTTGGCCTCTTCGATTAGAACAGTTTCATAGCCAAAAACAAAATACATTTTCCATATCGAATGGCACGAGAAACAAATCAAAAATGGCATATTACGATATCTATCAAAGACTTAAATATGAACTCTTATTTGACACAATCAATACTTTGGCTTGAATTGAATGACTCTCTTTACTTTATGTTTAAGATTGATTAACTAATCGACTAGATATCGAATCAGTATACGAGTGAATGTCACTTGAGATGCTATATTTTATCATATTCTAGTTGAAATGTTGATTCATAGAACAAATTGACTTTTTTTTGTTCTTCAACATCCATTTATTTATTTATTTTTCGTAAAAATCGAATAATTCTTCTATATGAAGTTAAGAAACATGTTCACTTTTTCAAATATTTTAATTTTTATTATTATCCATATTGACATGTGTCCAGTGGCAACTAAAACCATTTTAATATTCTGTTGCTTTAATTATACTTCAAATGTACGAAGAAAGTCAATTATTAAAAATATTCGTCTTATAAATAGAAAAAAAAAAAGAAATGTGTCTTTGATTGTTTGTTATATCCGAAAAGAAAAGTTCCTGTACTTTTATGTATCTACGTTTTATTTTTTATGCATATTAATATTATCTAATATAGACAGATGAAACTTTTCTACATAGAATATTCTTATGTAATCGACATGCATGTCATGTCATAACAATTTATGCATCTAGACATTACAATAATGATGCATATATATATAAGCATTTTTTTCAAAATCTTTCCTGTTCATCAATCCGTTATTGTTAGTTCTCGTCAAATATCGAAAAATGAATTAATATCCAAAATAAACAATATCATTATGATAAGTTTAAATTCTATGGTAAATCTAACAAGTTGAATTAAAATAGTAAAATAAACTTAAAGATTTCTATCCATTTTTCTAAAATTAAAAATTCGAATTATTTTATTCAGATATTTTTTAGTCTCTATGATTTTCAAGATATTACTCTAATTTCTAGAACAAATCTTTAAATTGAATGATAAACATGATCTCAAGATTGACGAAGAAAATATTTTAATAAAAATTGAATTTTCTTAATTGATAAATATTGACAGTTTTGGATTAAACCTTCAATCGATTATATTTTCAACAAGAATCGAAATATTGAAAAAAGATTATGAAGAAATTCTATTTAATAATAATATATTCAATCAAAAATATGTCTATTATAAATAATCAATTTAATTTTCAATAACTATTTTAATTCAAAAAATCAGTTTCACTTATCTAACAATATAATTTAACAGTAAACAAATGAAATAAAATACTAATAATATCATACCTATCGAAACATGTCTTGACGTACCAAATAATGCATAAATTAAAGGTGGAAAGAATGACATATATAAACCTTTAAAAGTATTCAAATTATATTCATTAGATAAGAATTTAAATAGATGATTTACCAATAATAGCTGGAACATTAGCCAATAAAGCATAGGCCATTCCTTGTGATATATATATTATAGATACCTGAATATAAATATCTTTACTTAATAAAAATAATCTCTCTTATTTTTTTTTCAAGGAAAAAACCAATCATCACTTAAGTAATCATTATAATTCAATATTGATTAATAAGAATTTATAATTATTTTTTTTATTATTGTCAAAAATAAAACAATTCTAAAATCATTATTCGAATTAATTTTACTTAAGCCCCTTCCCCCCCCCCCCTCCTCAGAAACGAACTTTGCCATTTTTCATCCGATTTCAACCAAAATTTCAGAGAATGTTAGTTTGGACTAGAATAGCTTATGGTTAAAATATCTCCCCAAAATCTCAAAGAAATGCCCAAGTTCTAGTCAATTCATTACCCCTTACGCGGGCAAGGATTTCACAATAAGGATACGAGCTAACAAGCTCGGGCGGTTTCCAAGTTGTAGAGTATCCTTAGGGCTAGGACTTAAAAGGATCCGATTTTTGATTTTCCGTTTATTTGATTTTTAAAGAACGTTTTTCGAAAAATATTCAAATTTGAGGTGCTAATAGAAATGAACTATCTAAGTTTTTTATTTCAGCAAAAGAGAAATTTAAAAATCGGAGCCTGTTAAGTCCTAGCCCTACATGTCTCCTATATAATAAAAAAAAATTATCACTTCTACGTCGAATCGTTATGGAGAAAAACCTGCCCGCGTAAACTGTATGGCAAAAGAACTGATTTTGAGAAAAACGGAAAATAAGTATTAGAAGTCGATTTTTCCGAAAATCACCTGATTTATATGTCAATGTTCAAGATAGGCTATAAATATGTGATCTTAATATTAAGTGTTCATAGTCTCTTAGCGATTAGTATTTAAAAAAAAACTTTACGAAATACTGATGCAAAGAGAAAGCAGCCCAAAAAATCGAACAAGCTAGAAAAAAAGCTGTGAAAATTTCCTAAAAAATATGATAGTAGGAGCGAAGTTTTAGACGATAAGTTCGTCAAAATCAATTCATTTTTCGATAAACCATAGATATTCTGAAAGAGGAAACTTCGGTGCATCTTCCTATGATAAAACTTCAATTTTGACTCATCTTCGAAAAAATTGAATTTTCTGAGGGGGAGGGGGTCCCCCTTAATTTAATTTTTAAAATGAAATATAAATTTTCTTAAATCAATAAATTATACGATAATATTTAGTAATAATTTATAATTGTTTCTCTTCGATGAAAATAAATTTAATTAAAATAAATATTTTCACTTACAGTAACACCACATAATATATCACTTGGTAACCATCCAATATCATAAAATTGAAGCCATGTTATAAATGGAAAAAGTCTATTTATATATGATCGAGCACATTTATTTGATGGTATACAATTATTTTTAATATAATTAATTGGATTTTTTAGAATATTTGAATTTTTATATACTTGATTTGTCACCGGTACAAATAATTGTTTTAATGAATGAGATTTCATTTTGAAATTTTTCTGAAAAACATCATTATATTCCAATGATGATCGATCTATCATTTAATTTAGTAAAAGATTAATCAAATCGAAGATTTTATATAATTATTTCGATAAGTTTATTTTTATTTTTCAAACCAAATATCTTCAACGTAATTTATATTCATAAAAATAAAATACAACCATCATATACTTAGCAAATATTTGTCGAAATAAATCACCTTATTTAAAGCTTTATTATAATAGGGTAGAACGACAAACAACAAATCAATTTACCTCACTCAATAATCAACTAGAAACGAGAATATATAAACATTGTTTTTAACTACATTAACATATTATCAATATCATTTCGATTCTTCTTTAAATCAATAAAATACTAAAGAACGAATATTATACTAATAAATCGTTGAGAGATAACAACAATATACATATGAATAAGTGTCTGTGTTATATTCAATGAATAAAATGAACACAACAAATAATACAGAAAAATAAAAAGAAATGAGAGATAAAATCCATTTCTATAGAACTAGCAGAAAAAGACAAGAAAAATGAAGACTAATATCATTAGAAAGGTGCAGGCCTCGCAGCCGTACTACTTTCCTGATTTTTTCCTGATTTTTTAAAAATGTCCTGCTTTTCCTGTTTTTGACCGAAAATCCTGATTTTTTCCTGATTTTTCATGATCTATGCCGATAGGGGCTATATCTACTTGGTCATGGCACGTTGTATTTCGTGAAACATAATCTGAAAGAAGACTTGAAGTGTTTACGCGTAGAAGTGTGCACTCACCTCCCTTCCTCCCTCATAGATCGTAACCGAAACTCACGTGACCCATCAGGGACCGTGACAGACAGGACTTTGACCCATCACAAATTGGGATAGACAGAGCTTTGGATTCATCGCAGACCGTGACAGACAAGACTCTGGACTCATCACAGACTGTGATAGACAGGCCGCAGGAATCATCATAGACTATGATAGAAAACCTCTAGAAACTACCAGAGATAATGCATGTCTAACTTATGATTAGAACATATAGGAGTGTTATCCTGTTTTAGCTGTATAATTTAAAGCAATCCGTGGTACAGAAATGTACCCCAACATGCATACGAAAGAACAGTTTTTAGAAAATTGCAAACAGCAGTTACATCCTGTTTCACATTTTTAATCCCTCAAGGAATTGTGCTAACGGCTTTTTTCCTTTTATCCTATTCTCTATGATGATATTAAAATATCTAAAACTGTTTACCAGGTTTGTTCTCACGTTCTGATATTTTGTTACCTCTTTACACACTAGCTGGTGAAATGAATACGCCATAAAAATACTATATAGTAATTCCAAACACTTACTCCCTTCATGTATTAATGCTCTTTTATCCCTTTGAATAATAAAAAAAAAAGGAATTCTTATTGCGTTTTCATTTGTGGATAATGCTGCTGTACATACACTATTAGCATTTTTAGTGTTTGACAGAGATGGTGATTATTCATTTAATGCAATAGGTGGAACAGGACCAAATACATCTTTCACACATTGAATATGTTTTGGTCAATCAAGTGCCTTTTTATACCAGTCCATCCTCCGTTAGCACAACTGAGATCATCTGTACGACACACCATGCATTAAAACAAACTGGTAGTTTTACCTTTCTTAAGCCGCACAGAACATACTCTATCAGTATTCTCTAATTTTTGCAACCATTTTGAGCAAAACACTATTTTTCGGCCTTTGAAAATGTCTAATTGAGGGAGTACATTTTTCGAAACTGAATCGCTATAACATGATTGTTTTATATGTAGAGAGAAGAACAAATTAGAATAAAAGAATGACAGTGAAAGAGAACAAAAAGTAAACAATAAAGGGTGAAAAGTGTGTGTATCTGAATAAAAGAATAAGTTCCTGCACAACTGATTTTGTTTTCAACAAGTCGTATTGTTTACTTCAGCAACCTACGCTTTAATTGTAACTACGCGTGACTGTCGCACCTACTCTTGCGCAAATTTGACCCCAAAAGAAGCAATATTAGAACAAAGTTTATAATTCCTGATTTTTATAAAAATTCCTGATTTAAAAAAAAAAATTTCCTGTCTGCTTTCCTGATTTTGGAACACATGCCGCTGCGACCCCTGAAGGTGTATGAATAGAAAGATACTAGTTATATAAGAGAAAAGTAAAAGATTGAGAATAATACACACAGACACTGATCAAATATTACTTTTTTTTTCTATCTAACTTTTAACTTATTGTAAAATTCTATGAATACAAATGAAAAATTCATTTTAAAAATTTTCGACATATTATCTAAGAATTAATTAATGAAAAATTTTACTTTGTTACATCATCGAAAATAAAATGAAATAAATTTATTTGATATGTTAAATATTTTATGAAGTGATCATCTTATATTAATATGAATATTGACTAATTTTAACATAAGTTATATGGATACGATTTTATTTGGCCATAAAGATAAAAGTATATCGATTTATTAACAGTCAATCTCTTTTATTATACATATATATAATCATTGAGATTTTTATAAAAAGATGGACACATATATCATTGGTTTGTCTATGTTTAGCAAAAAGCTTGTCGAACAAAGGAAAATGAAACAAAAAAAAAATCAAGTAATCTACTTTTATTTATATTTAATCTTGTAATTCAGGAAAAGAAATGATAAAAATTTTTCATATAAAATCAATAATAAAAATATGTCAATTAAATGTACAAGTCTAACCAACAATCCGATGTCGTTTTGAAAAGTTCGTCAAATATATGACATATATTTCGATTTTTTCAAATAATTCTCGATATCTTTCATTTTCTTCGATATTATCTTAGCAATCTATTCAAATATTTAGAAAATCAAGTTTTTTTTTTTGGTAAATGTTTGATGCAGGACAATTCAATTATTTATTGTAATATAATTAAGAATCTGTTAGTCAATCGAATATCGAAATAAATATATAAAAATAAAATTGATGACAAAATAATTATGATGAAGAAAATAATAATAATATCGATCATTAAGAAGAAGAAAAAAAAAGATCTATGAACTAGATAAATAAATTTTAAGGATAGATCATATTTATTGCACAATCGATAAATCATTATTATATAATTATTGTTTAGAAGAAATTTTTCACTTGATCTTTTATAAAATTAGACAAAGAAATATATAAATGAATAAATAAGCTTGATCATAATCAACTATTGACAATATCATTTATATTTAACTATTTATTGGTCAATTATATGTCGAGGAGATTGTAAAAAAAGTCTGATGATATTCAAATGCATTATCAAATTGAAGCATTTTATGTTAAGAGAGATGATAAGTCAATAATACAATTGTTGATAAGAAAATTCTAAAATAAAATTGAAGCAATGTCTCAAAAACTATTATTAACTAATTTCATTTTCGAGTTTAATTTTCTTTCTTTGTCAATATATATATATATGAATGCCATTATCGATGTTTGTTTTTCAATAGGATAATTAAGAATCATTTATATTATTTCGTTAATAAAGATTATTTTGAGAATAAAATCCATTGATAAATTAGGTTTATTTAAGAAATATCGATAAACTAAGAAAAAATAGTATAGTTAAATTCTTATCAAATGAACATCATTATTCATATTTAAAACTCATCTTGATTAAAAAAAACTTGTTCAAATGTTAAACGTTTTCTTAAAATTTAATTTTTGAAAAGAACATTTATTAATGATCAACTATTTAACTTGATTATCTTATAGATACATATTTATTTATATTTAATTGATTTATTAATGAACAATAAATAATTAATAGATTAAAATAAATATAAAAACTAATTGAAGTCTATGATAATGTTTATCTTGTGAAAAAAAAAATTCAATTAATTATAAATGATTTAAATCTCTCTATCGAAATAATAATTATTCATTGATTAATAGAAATATCTAAATCGAATTATCAAACAGAATTAATAAATATTATTTAACGTTTCTTTTCCCTATCTGAAATAAAATTAAAAATGATATGAAGATTATTTTAATGTAAAATAACGAATTATTATCAAAATTTATTCTATGAAAAATTTCTTTGTTCTTCTTTTTGTATATTAATTAATTGTCTGATCATAAATATATTATACAAAAATTTTTAGTAAAAAATAAATTTTTATTACATTTTAGTTATTAGCAATTAATATTAAACTTATATCGAGTTGATTCGATGATTAAAAAAATTTTTAAATATAGTTTTGGTCTTAAATATTCTTAATAAGATAATCAAAATAAATTTTTCTTGAATGAGTATTCGATTGATAATATTTAGCTTCGTTTTAACTCTTTCATATATTATTCGATAGAAAATATTGAACAATTAGGTTATAAAAAATTCGAAAACAATTCAAATTTAACTTCGAACAAAGATTTATTATTGTTTAACTCGATATTTGTTCTTCATATTCAATGAGGAACAATCGTTCCCTCAGATTTTAATCAAATTAAAGTCAAAGAATCTATTCGAATATGTGAAAAGTTTTATCGAATAGAAATGAAAATATTCATGTAAAATTTTCGATTAATATTAATTGAATGAACGTTCCCTCGATGAAATATATATATTTCAGTTGACATTAACAAAAATAACAATCTTGTTAATATTTTCATTTGAAAACTTAATGATAAACAAAATTTGATTCGAATATATTTCTATTAATGTAAAAAAAAAAATTTTTTTATTCTGATTAATCAATAATTAATCATGTCCATATATCAATGATATATTATTAAGATTTTGTTAAGTAAATGATATGGTTTTTTTATTTTTATTTCGATATCATTTAATGAAGTTCGAATATCGTTTACCATATAAATTTTTATAAACCGATATCGATATAATAAATACAATTAATAGAATAAACAAAGTTTTAAAAAAATCTTTAATTATTTATTTAATAAAGAGTTTGAAATTTTATAAAAAATAAAAACTTATTATAATTATAATAAAAATAAATATTTTTTGTTTTGTTTATATAATTAATAATTGGAATGATATATATTAATGAAAAATATTGATGATAATAATAATAATTAAATAGATTATATTTATTTATTAGTAATTAATCTATGGTGACTAGAAAATAATGATGAAATTAGTATTTAAGTTGAACATCTATTTTCATTAAAAATGTCATCAAGCCTTTAGAAATACTAAATATATTTAATAATTATTTATTTATTTTCAATCGTTTTCAACATCGCCCTCAATAATCGATCTTGCCTTATCAACAGTCAAAGTAGCATTTTATTTTATATTAAACTATAGGCGAGAAACTAATATACTAAGTTTTGTTTGAACGTTCATTCTCGAAATTTTATTTTTATTTTAGAGATAGTACATATCAGCTTGTTCAGTCTGATTCAGTTATTTTTTTTTTGTTAAATTGTTACATTTGTCATAAAGACTAACAATAATAAGTCAAGCTATCACAGAAAAATCGCTAATCATATCAACTTTTTCAGAATTTAATGCAACATTTCACTTGTTACTCTTAGTCTTCAAAAAAAAACAAAGGAAAAACTTGAGATTAAATATTGAATATATGATGCTTGTTTGATGAATATCTGGTGGAAACATCATATTGTAGAAATGATAAAATTCTATGTTTTAAAGTGGGAAGATAAATGTGAAGTGTCTATTTATTTTAATGTTCGTTAACAATGATAAATTGTTGAGAAATTCGAATATAACTAAAATGTGATTTTAGCTTTCAATTGAACTTCGATAAAATATCATTGAGAAATGTTTTTTAATAAAGAATATATATGATTTAACCATAATTAACTATGGATTAGCATATACATAAGATTGATTATTGAGACATATATGAATAGATTTATCAAATTAATTATAAATATAATTCGAAAATTTAACCATAGTATTAACTTAATTCAAATATTATTAATATGAATTATAATGATATATAATCGAGCATTGATACATAATTAATACATTAAATATTTAACTTGGAATGTTGAAAATCAAATTATAATTCTTTTTTTCCTTTTTGCTCGATTATTAATCAAAAAATAGCAAACATTTTTTCTCGGAATTGTTATTATTAAGATATTTATTGAGAAAAATAAATAAGCAAGGTTATTCTCATTAAAATGGAATAAATTGAAATTAGTTCGATGTATTATCATTGGTTTTCTATGATTTATAATTCTCTACTAGAAAGTTAATTGAACATAAAATATCGATTATTATTGATTAAATCTACACTTAAATTTAAATTCGACTCTTCAACGAATCTTATTTAATGATTTTTATCGAAAAATTCTATCAATTAGAATCTGTCATTGAGAGTCAAAATAAAAACAATATACTCTAAAAAATAAAACAAAACTATTATTAAAAATTTCCAATCTTAATTTCTAATACTAAATATGTTAAGTATTTCTTAATGTCATCGAAAAATGTTTCTTATCAAGAAAAGAAAGGAAGAAAGAATAAGAGAATAATGATAAATAGTCTCGTTCGACATTCACAATCCATGAATATATCGAGATAAAATACATTAAAGGGTGGGTGTGGATGCTATAGAAAAGGAAACCCACACATACATCCACACCTTCCACACTCTATAATACATATTATCCCTGAATAATTAAATTTAAATATCCGAGTCCTTCACAGTTTGTAGATCTTCGATTAGTAGTTCGAATGTACACCTGGTTTATTGAAAACTCATTGTAAACAATTCACGGTATAGGTTTTTTTTAAAGATCAATTGAAGACCTTACAAAAAATAGATGAAAAAAAATCTGTAACATACGATTTGATGCGTCTTCATCTGCTTTTCCAACGGTGAAAGTAGCAGTTCTCTATCTTGTTGTTATCAAACGTTATTGGAAAAATATGAGCATTCATATAACCGTTGCATATCATAACAAACAGTTCTTTTTCGAAACTTTATAGCTATGATAGTAGTTGAATAGTGTTAAAATAGCATAGAAAAATAGAGCATCGTTTTCTCTATTACTACTTAAAAACGAAAATTTCTTCAAACTTTCTATAAGGAAATAAGATCATGACGATCCTACTTTTGGATTGCCCGAAATAGTTCGCAAACTAAAAGAAAGCAAAAATCTGATATTTCTTAAATCTTAGGTGAGTTAATAATCATTGAAACAGGTCACATTAATACATCATAGTCTAAGATTGAACAACAAGAACCACCTGCTTTAAATAATCAACAATCAAAAAAAAATTCATTCATCTTCATCAGAATCTTCTCTATTATTTTCTTCATCATCAAATACACCACTGTCTGATATTACTGATATCATCAGTCGTTCAACTGATGAATTACTCACACGACCAATATTTGCTTCTTAAGACATTTTTGCGTTGATTATGAAAAGATAATTGTTGCTTTTGTTATTCAACAAAAGAACAGTCGCATATGTTGAAATGGCTGTTTAATTTTTTCCTTTGTTTTCTTTTTTTCTACTCAATTTCAATTAATCAAATAACAGATACATTGTTTTGTTTCTCTCTCTTTAGGAGAACGGAAATTGGAAGACTCAATTGAGCTTCAGGAAAAATTTTAACTATTGTGAATAATTGTTTTTAAAGATTGTGGGGCACCGTCTGGGCATCCACAATTTCCTGGTTACGCCACTAGTTATGCATGATACTTAATTAGCTCGTGTTGATATCCATATTACAACTACTGGAGATACAAATATGATATGGGCATTTGGTACCCAAGATCAAGGTGAATCATGGCATTTTGCTTTGATTGACTCATATGCAGACGTCGGTCACAATGTAAAATTATTTTCTTTTGTTATAAAATTTAATAATATTTTGTTTTCTTTATATAGATTATTATCGAAGAAACTGCTAGTGCACGAATACAAGGTTATTGTGCTATCGATGATATTGATATTCGTGATAGTTATTGTGAAACCAGTCAAACTGTAAATCCTCTAACAATGGTGTGGGTGTCGTTCTTCTCTTTATCAACACTCACACCCACACCATCCATTGATTACTAGGTGCAAATATTCACGTGACACTTACAAGCTTCCTAAACATCGTTTTTGTTCGAATTGAAATAGATAAAAAAAATATCCGAAATCGAATATTGATTTCGTTTGAAATTGTAATACGAAACGCAGATGAGTTTGACGCCAATGCTGTTTGAGCTCTCTTTGAGCTTTTAATACAGATTTACAAGCGTTGCAATAATTTGCATCTTTGGCCCCATAAAAGATCAACAAGAGAAAAGAATATTTTTGCGGTGTAGATATAGAGAACATGTGAGCACAAACGCAAGAATTTGAAATGAGGTGAACGTGCACCTCAATATCGGATTTAGATAGAATACAGTCGTCGCACTCATCCATCCTAGGTAATTCTTTTAAAGTAATATGAATGTATGATCAGATGTATATTAATAATTATCTCTCATTCAATATGCTCATTTTCATGTTGATTATATCTTTTGCTCAAATTTTTATATTGAAACCGCTGTGCTTTATTGTGATGCTCGAATCGAACAGGAAAAAAACGCGATCCAGTGAATACTAAAGCGTGATAGTTACCGAAATCAATAAATCATGAAGATGCATTGAATATTAATGAGCAATCGGTACAGTTGAACAAAAATCATAATACGATGCAGCTTCGAATTCACCTGTAAGAGAGGAACACATTTAGTGAATCGGCTCGATATGGTATCGAATGTTCGGAATGAAGTTGGACTTTGAGTTAATTAACTATGTTTTAATATTTAATCGTTGATTAATTCATGTCACTCAAATGTAGCTCATTTTGGGAAACTTGTACATTTGTTTGTGAATATAATTCACAGAGGCCATATTTTCGCAATATCAATATATATAGTGGAGCGAAAAGTGTCGCAAAAATTCTTTACATTTTCATTTGGAATAAGGCATTAAATGAACGATTCTGCTCATTGATTACTGTATAGTTAGAAATAGATCAAAACAGAAAAATCTTAATGAATATGAGAGTATTTTTTTGAAGAAATATAATATTGTTGAGAAAGACGGAAGCTATCGAAATTTGAATATATTCCTACTTCCAATTTTCTATGATGACTTTGACAAATATGTCTTACTTGTGCCCTTTGACGGTCTGTATAGAAATTTTTGTTCTTCGGACATCTGGATGATAAGATGGAAAACGTTTTTTATATATAATCAATACTTTTTCAAGATTTAATAAAGATTGCTCACGATCACCCATTTCAACATGAATGCAACTCAATGCTTCATAAGACGGAGCTATATGCCACTGATCTGCGGGACATGATGCAAGCATTATTTCAAGACCAGTCTGACAATTATTCAGAGCCAAATCGAGTTGTTGCAGTCGTATGTATGCAGAGGCTATGTTATGGTGTGATGCACCCAATTCTATATGATATGTAGGTAGAACAGTTTTCTTAATTTTCAATGCTGCTAGATCATAGTCTAGAGTACGTCCATACATTTCTTCTTGCTCATAAAATATGCTAAAATTGCTCAAACAAATAGCTACATGGTCATTTTCGTTATCGAACAAATTTTTGAACATATTAAACGGTCTTTCATACAATTCTAGTGCAATTTTCTTACGTCCTTGTCTATCGTAAGCAATAGCAAGACTTAAATAAGTGGTGGCATCTGCTGGATGTCCATTAGACATTGATTGTGATCAAAGATCAAGCGTTTGACTACGTCTAACGATGGCTTCATCATAATCACCTTTTTCTGTTGCCAAATCACCAAGTGCTTGATAGCAATAAGATATATTTAGTTTGTCGATTTCAGAATTTTCATGTAATAGTCGTCGATAAAATTGTTCAGCCTCTTCCAATTTTCCCGATTTGAAAAGTAGATATCCTAATGTAAGAAGATCATTTTCTTTTCCAATCTCTTTTCGCATCCATTCAAGTAATTTCGTTAAAGTTTTCTCTTCGAAATCATTACTGGTAACAAGTTGGATAATACAAAAACTATTCTCATCACGGATATTTACCAGACGAAATATTGTTCCAAATGCGAATAGAATTTCACTTTCCGCTTATATATGACTTTTGGAATTTATATCAGCAAAAGGTTGTAAATAATCAATGTTTGGTTCGGCATCAATTTCAAAGAGTATGGCTTTCATATTACTGTCAGGAGCAGTTAAACTCTTGACTAGAAATAAGGTTAATTCTCGATCGGTACTTTTTGAAAGAAAAGAATTCATTGAAATTAAATCGTCTTCTCTATTTTGCAGAATATTAGGTTCATCATTAGACATTAATTGACCACGATATACTCGGCAATGTCGATTTGCAGGATTGGAGTCTATTGTCTTAATCTGCTCCTATTGAATCTTCAAGAGTTCATGATAAATATCTTGAATAAAAAGTCGCATCATGTAGAGTAATTCGACACTTTGTACATGCAAAGCTTTATTAAGAAGACGGTAAAACATCGATTTACGGCTATACCACCACAAAGCTCGATTTTGATAATAAGTAAGTCCAAAGTCTTTGCTAGTTTTAAGTTCGACCGGATTACCTTCATAGACTCGTTGACAATAGTCAATGAATTCGCCTATATTTGCAGATGTCGATGGCATTTTATGCAGAACTCTGGCCAATAGTTGAGAATGAAGAAATGTTCCATTAAGACTGGTTGATGAATGATCTTGCAATTTTTTCATATCAAGAATATTGATTGAAACATATTCTTCGATTTTCTCATATCGAAAGATATCACTTTTAATTTGCTCTATTAGGGAATTGATGTCCGAAAACTTACGTCGAATCTAAATTAGTACAGAAGATTCAAATCGGATACTGAGAAACATATTCATTATTGTCAATGTTAAATCTACTCTGATAAATACAGTTGAAATATGAATTCGATTCTTGACTGCGTGAAAAATTGAATCTTAAGTATCTTTTCAACTATTAAACTATTTAGTCGAATATCGATGTAAGTACCATGGATGGATACACAGCCGCATCTTCCTGAATGTAATAGAATTGTTAAATTGAAAAGTTGGATATTTGAATTCAACTTTCAAGTTTGGCACTACTGACCGTTTTCTATTCCATAATAAGCGAAAGTCAAGGTAAACGGTTTTCTCAAATTCCTAATATCAAAACTTCTCCTGAAACTAATGTGACAAAACGTCTTGTGGAATGTATGATGAAAGAACTGATAGCAGATTTTTGGAAATAAGAGATAGATTTTAGAAATCTAGCAAGCAAAAAGTTCTAATGACATTGACACAGGCGTTTGAGTTATGCTATTCAATATTTGACGCTTTATGCTTATGTTTTTCCTATTCTCATCATACATTTCTCAATAAGAGAATGTAACTGCTTCAAAAAGTAATTCTTCGAGGTACGGTTTTTAATGAACCCTTTAGTTTTATCGGAAACATCACATTCATATAGATCTTCCACATGATATATACATCGTTTTCTCTGTCTCATTCACATATTTTCCCAGACAGCATGGATTTGTATTCAATCAGATGATCTATTTTATATAAGACAATCAATTAAGAACCAAGTTTAACTAATACCAAGTAAGCTTTTTCAATTCTTCAATTCATTCATACATAAGCGAGATCGGATGCATGCTGCCAGGAATCACTAACTATACTAAAGATATGAGAAGATGAAATAGGTTTTTCTTGTCTAGTATCTATTATGATTTTAAAATCGTGGTGACTGAATGAAAGTAGGCAACTTATTGTTACTGACAAATAACATGAGAACTTTCGAATTGATCTCAATAGATCGAAAACATGTAAATGATTGATCTACTTTTAAAAGCACGCCTAAAGATAGTTCACCATTGTTATCTTGGTTTATGAAGTCGATATTTTTTAAAAGATATATAGAATGAATTTGATGAAGATCATTAAGATGAGAAGCCAACATGTCGACTTGCTTGGCGCTCGTCTCATTAATTACGAGCCTAGTTGCTCTTCTATTGTTGTTTCGATAAAAGAACGTTTCGCAGACTGATTTTTCTCTCGATTCATTGAAGGATTTGCAAGCTACCAGATGAGAGAAATTAATCTTTGTTCACTATTTATACCAGAAATGGCAGCACACATTCCACTTTAAAAATGTTGACTGTTAGCATGTGCCGTAAAAGAATGTTTTTATTGTTTAACATTGTTGAAGAAATGCAAATTTTTTCTTTCTATTTCTGCTCGCAGAAAAGAACGACTGCTTCGGAAGTTGTAGTTTGAAAAAGAAAAAACGGTGGATATGGATATGAGTGTTGGTGATGTCGATAAAGAGAAACTTATTTCTCACACTCACACCCATGTAGCACTGAATTCATTTCTCAACCAGCATTGTCAAACTAAGTTCACTGAAATAGAAACATATTATTCATTAGACGGAGACATGGAATTAAAAAGCTTGCATTGACAACAATTTATGACATCAGTTCTGTTAGCAAGTATAACTGCTTATATATCTTTCGACAAGAAAATATCGTTTTAACACCTTGACCCATTTGTGAATAAAATTTTTCTGACTCAATAATTCTTGTTTTATCAACGTGAAAATATCGAAGCCTATTGAATTTGTATACTATAAAACTTTACTATGTAAAAAAACATATAAAATCACAAATGTATTCTTTAGTAGAGATGAACAATGGAACGACAGTAAAAATGTCCATGCCTTTGCATAGTAAATTTTATACATAGATTTCGTTTTAATATAGAATCTTCAGAAGGGTAAATTATTACATCTAAATGTTAGCGTTCGGATGAATAATGTAGCACTATAGAATTGATCGAACTAAATAGTATGACAATGGTCATCTTGTTGATCAAAAATCGTTATGCGATTCCAAATTGAATTAAAACTATTCAACATCGATCAAATATTTGTAATTGACTTTTACAGATTCTTTATCAACAATTTGATCTTCTAGTAAACCATAGTGTAAAGAACGCTAACAGAAATCTTACTTTCTGATAAAAGCAACTATTGATTAATAACTAGTATTTGTAGATTTTCAACGAAAGAAATACTTTCACATAATAGGATTATGAATTATTGTAGCTTTTATTCTTTTGTCAAAGTATATCTTTGAACAAGTCATAATTTTTTTCTATCTACTTAAGCTACGACACGCACTGCGCATAGCTGACAAAACCCTGTAGGTGTCTAATTGAATCGTTCTAACAGCAAAAATGGATAGTATTTGCAGCAAAAACTTTTTATTCGGTTGTAGAAACAATGACTATTTAATGAAAGTACATTGTCTATCGTTATGAATTAGTATTTGAATATTTCAAAATTATTCATACATGCTAATCAAGCTGTGGATCGATAAATAGCCTAAAACTATTTAATTGTCCGATGAAAATGGATGGAGTGTGTGGGTGTCGGGTTCGGTGTGGATCTTTTCTTCTATGACGCCTACACCCCACACTCACACCCGAAAAAATTAACATCGTTACTAATCAAATACTATTTATATAATGAAGTGAAAGAATTTTTCAATGAGCAAACCGAATTGGTTACTGAAACTTTGATTTTACTAATGAGAATATTATCAATCTACTGAGTGAATAATTAAGTAACTGAGTAATGATAATAATTAGTTACTGAACATTAAATTTTATACTGATATCTTGAGTTTTTTACTGATAATTTGCATATAATACTGAGCATATTCTACTAAGCATTTTATTTGTTCGCTTTTACATTTTGTTATAAAACATTTCATACATTTTCCGCAGATAAGTCTAAGGTACATCTTTTGACAAAAAGTTTGACTTTTGACAATGTAAAGAAAAAAAAGTTCTAGTTAAAATATCTGATATTATCTCTACTTTACCTTTTATAGTTTCTCTGTTTGATTCATTCTTATACAATGCATTACGATGTAGAAGACGAAGGAAAAGAATATGAACAATGATAAATATTTCCGAATGATGAGAGAGTGCTTACTTACCAATACATCTCGAACATATCGATTCTATCTTTAGCTGTAAATTTGTGAGATTTCACACTTTCAATATTCTCATTTTCAATGAATACTTTAAAAGTACAAAGTACAAAGAAGTTAGCAGATGTGCACCATATTCAATTGAATAGCATGCAGAATATGGTACATTTCTGCCAACTTGGTTAGTACGTACTTTTAAACTCTTCAATAATGATTTTCCGCATAAAATTTTTCGACATTTGATAACATATTTGGTCAAGAGGAAATTTTCGGAAATTCCATGGACAATTTGGATCAATTCTATGAATATCAGGGTGATTTTATTTCGAAAGTTCTCAATAAATTGATCACGAAGTGTTGTTCGCGTAAAAAACTGAATCTCAGATATGTAACATTCTGAAATCAGAAGTGTTCTTCGAATTTTGACAAGAAAGAAAAAAAATTACTTATCATCTCACTTTTTAATTCAACGCCTCTATTCGGAAAGTGTCATACTTGAAGCAAGTGTCGTATGTGTCATCACAGTCTTGCGTACTGGGTACATGTGACATACACGCTCGATATATTTATCAAGCGCACAAAACATAATAACACGTGCAAGAGCGATACGAGCTAATACAAGTTCTTTATTGAAACAGATAAAAGCTAAAGTTATTACAATAAAGAGAAAGAATGAAATAGAAATGTTTGATATAAATGAATCCAAATGTCATGTTGATCATCTACTTGTGACCACTGCTTGTACCATATTCAGCCTCATAAACGGATTCGATGTCTTGAATTTTACCCGAGGGACCAAACGTATACAAGGTATTGTATATTTTGTTGTCGAACAAGACCCGAGCACGTATTGTGTTCTTGTGTTGATCGTCGAGATACTGGAGAATCTTCCATCGACCCTTTGGATACGCTTCATGTTCCATACTGTAGTATTCTCGAGCGCCTTCGATACCTTTGAAGACAGCTTTCGAGTTCGTTATTTTCTCGACATTTTCATCGAGAAAGTCGTCGAGCTTATGAACATGGCGTTCATTAATGGCTTCGGTGAAATGTTCAATTGTAGTTTTGTGCGATTGACTGGACGAGTGCGACATGATAATCGAGTTTACGTTTTGTTGTTGACTTCTTTTCTACATGTACCAGAGAAAGAATGGCTTGGTTACTCGTCGAAATGTAAGCGCAGAACTGTGCACACATGTTATATATGGGTAACGACGGTCGTTTCTTTTTTTTTCCTCATCTAGGCGGCCTTGTGTAAAGAAACAGCGGCTTGCGCTGGTGAGAAAATAAGAGTTCGCCTGAGCAGAATGAAAAAAATAAAAGGGTAACACCGAGCGCTGACGATCATCTCCGCTACTTACTATCTCAGATTGCTTTTTCTTTCTTCCTAACATAGCACATGATGCCATGGAAATTTCTTCGTTTATGGATCAATATCTCGAGAGACATCCTATGATTAGTGCTATTTTTCTATTCTGCACATCAACGAAGAAGAACGCAAGAAAATGTCAATGAGAATAATTTTTCTCTTGCGTTCTATTATCAAATAATGGTAACAATCCTACTCGACGTGTACGGCATGTTGTGTTACGTGTATTCGACGTGTTATGTGTGATGCAGAGCTACCAACAAGACACTTTTTTA